CTGCAGATAATTACTAATAATCTATAAGTTACATGTATAATGCATGTTTGTTGTTGTACTACTTTTTTTTTCTTGACCTTGTACATCAATATATTTTACATGTAGTCCCTAATTTTATACAGGAAAAATGACCCTTCTCCTATTGATGCAGTTTGTCTGGGGATTTCAGCAAGATCACTGACGGGTGTTATTCTTTTACCTATAACAGTTATCAAAACTAGATATGAGGTATGATATGTGCATATTCTAAAAACAAAGTTTTAGATCATATGTTTTAACCATAATATTTGCATATACATGTACAATATTATGACAGTTCTACAAGTAAGATGTTCTTGAGAATTGTACAAAGGTTTGTTATAGTAGCAAACAATTTACCCACACTTCTCCAAACTCGTCAGTTTTCAAACAAATTATTCCAAACTTACTTTGTTGGTTAGTGTGTATTTGTTTTGTTTTTTATTTTATTAAAGAACAAAAAATCAACAAAATGAAATTTTGGAAGATGGACAAAAATGGTGAGGTATAGCAAACTTTTGATGTAATCATTTTTGTATTCAAGGTTAGTAGAGCTACTTTTCACTACAATTAACTGGTTGTGGTTCTTTTTATTTGAATTATGTTGGATAAATTCCAACAACTGTTACTAACTGAAGCTTTGCATAATTTTCGTTCTTTCACTTTTCTGGGTGTACTCATTTAAAATAAATTTGGTTTTATGTCATTTTTTCTATATTTGGATCTGTCTGCATCTTTAATTTTAAAGTCATTTCTCTGAAATGCCCTTTTATTGGTTAATCTTGGTGCGTGTGAGCTTAGATATAATATCATTTTAAAATAAATTTCCTTATTCAAGCAAACAAATATGTAGCAAAATATTATTTTAATTTTTTCTTGTCAGGAAGTGAATTAATTATGTAGTTTTATTAACTTTTGTTATTATAAGTGACCTCACCTCACTATATATATTGTGAACTTTGTAAAGTTATTTTGCTGCTGAGACTGCATATTGACGTATTTATCCTACTATGCTGTATTTGTATTTTATGCATGTGGTACACCCATCAGTTGCATCTTAATCATGTAATTACATACATTATTATATTTTTATCTCCAGAGTGGTGTTTACAGTTACGTTGGTGTAGTACAAGCTTTAAGAGTTATACACACTACAGAGGGTTTCAAGGGTAAGTGAAGTATGACAAGTTTCTGTATCTCATCTTTAGAAGTGTATTGTTTAGAATTTTGTTAAGTACCATATAGTACTTTCATTGTATTTGTGAATTAGCTTAGCTAAAAATGTTCTGATAAGCTGAATATAAATTTTAATTTGTATCATTATTTCCAGTGTCTAAAAATAACTGCATTGATCATTAGTACCATCTTATGAAAAATTAATAAAGTATTTGGTTTTGGAAGCTCTCAGCCTTTGAAATGTTAGCCTTCTTAGCTCTGTTTCCTGTATTTCTGAGGAGGAGTGCCAGCTTAAATCTTCAGGTCACTTGACCTTCTGTACTCATTTAAAGTTGACATAAATTTAATACTTGTAACTCTATATATATTGGGTATATCTTCACGAAATTTGGCATTCTTTCAATTAATATTACAAGTCTTTCACATACAAAAAGTCACATTTCTTAGTGAAGTATTTCTAATAAAATAAAGTTTTGTCCATGAATATATTGAGTATTTGTTTTGAATAGTCCGTGTGCAAAGTAATTTTCATGTTAAAATTAAAAATACGTTTCATCATCTCAAATTTCCTTTGTGTAATCCCTAAAACCTCCTAAATGCATTTCAAACGTTTTTTTTTTCACTAAATCCTTATAATTTGTTATTTTCTCTACCCTAATTTCAAAACTGGATCGGTCAAATCGACTGACCTCATAACCACCAAAAAAATCGAAATAAACCTAAATTAACCTTCTTTTCTGAAACTACATTTGTTTATCCTAAGTAGCTCTAAGTTTGTAACATTATACATCTATTTATACTTAAGTTTTATTGTTTGATTGCCCTTTTTATTGCCATTTGAACTAACTTGTCTAACTGCTATCCATGCCATTATAAGTTGTAAATCACTTGGGGAATGTGCAGCTCAAGTTACGCTATCGAACTATATTACCGACGAGTTGCTCACATGTGTGCTTCGAGAACAATTTTAATTATATTATTATTATTATTACTTATTTTACGTATTCTAGTCTTAAATAACTTAAAAAGATCTGTACTTTAATTTTAGTTACTTTTATAATAATAAATAAAGAATAAATATGAAAAACAAGTACTTACCTAATCTTCTTTTTTCTTGCCCTTGATTGGTGAGTAGAGTTAAGCCAGATTTTTTTTTTTTTAGTGCTTATGGTAAAGCACTTAACAATTTTTATTTACTTAAATAATACACCAAAGAAAATAGACTAATAACATGCAAAAAGTAGACAAATTCACTTACTTCTAAACATTTTCCTGGCTTTCTAACTATGCCACAAAAGCCGTTACAAATTCATCCAAGCTAGTCGTTAACTTTTCCACTGGAACAAAATTGCTACTCTGAGTGACATTGATGGTTATCTGTTCAAAACACAATGTTATATAAAATGCCATTTGATATATGAAAACCTTGACTTTCTATTGGTTATAAATAATATATAATGAATATAAGAGAGAACTATCAACCAATTGTGATAGGGAGGATGTGACAGGAGGGGTCTGATTTTCTCTTTGATAGCTCTGTAACAAAACAAAATTGAAGGCCATAAAAATTATGGTCTGTTTAAACAATTATGATTTTATAGAGAGCATTTTACGTTTAATTTCGTACATTTTTGAGGGGTGATGGATAAAATTTGTTAAGACAAAATTTGTCATGTGTGTTACACTAGTGGAAATTCAGGATTTTTTTATATATTTCCTTTTAGAATGAAGAAGTTAACTTGTATGCTATTAAAATATGATTATTAGCTAAGATTTTATGCTATTCTAATTGGTATAACATAAACAAAAAGTAGTTTAATAAAAGTTTGAATGTAAGACACTAAAACCTTGTGTCATGTGCAGTAAAGGGTACCCGTGCCAATAGGGTTAAAAAATCATACATTTGTTTAAGCATACACAAATTGTTTTACTTCTATAAAAATAGGAAGACCAGCTGAGCTTTCCCATAAAGCTCTTTTTATTACTGTTCACATACTCTAGTAACTTGTTTTACTGATACAACTTTAATAAAGCTGATAAAATCCGTGCAACTTATTTTATCAATAAGATTTTCATACAATATTGAACATACTTGCCAACATATTGAATAGGTTTAAGGTAGCATATACCCTTTACATAGTGTTATCTAGGTTTGGCCTTTTTATCGGAAAAAAACATTTTCATACTATGTTTTTTGTATGAAAATACATTGAAATAGGTAAAAAAAGACGTATACATTACCACTGTGGCTGATTGGCATATTATAAAAAGAAATACAAAAGAAATGTCTTGTGCTCCTAATAACTTCAATAAACATGACTGAATGCTCCTGAAAGTAGGTTCAGTGGGATGTGAAGAATTAGTCTGAAGTAATAAAAACTCTGAGAATTAATTCAAGGTCAAATTATGGCACTAATTAGTGCATATTTTCATTTTTTAACACATAGTTTAACCTTTGTGACTGAATCATCAATGAAAGGTTTTTAGCACAGTCCATTACTTAAAAGGGGGTAGCAAAAATGCAGCATTTTGATAAACAGGGGAATAACAGACAAATTGGCTAAAAGTACATGGAAATGAGGAGAAAAACAACTATTGTGGAATGTAAATAAAAGCATTTTAATGGAAACAATTTTTTTCATATTTTTAATGGTTTTTTTGTTTAGCTAAAACTCTTTTTGCACTGGGAGGAAGCTGTAAATTGTGATATGCTTTGACATTGAAAGGGTACATGGTACCTCAAGATAGTTATTGTGTAGTTTTATTTATTATAATTGAATAAACATGGGAAATTATTTTTTCTTTAACCATATGTGTATAGATGGGGGTCAAAGTATGCAAGCCATGACCTTTTACAGAGTGCCACTCAACATGATATTATGTATTTGATGTCAGAGTTATCAACTATTCATTTTACAATACACTGTTAGTTTATCACAGTGTGTGATAGAAGAGAGTAAATACGAGATACAGTATACTAAAATACTGAAAACAAACTGTATGCGCATTTTGGAGGCTCTAAAGATTATGCAAATATAAACTGTACAATGGATAAGTATTTTTTAATCTTCACATGAACATCACCTTGCACTCCAATTTATCTGAGTCAGACGAATGTCATCTATTTACAGATGTATCTTGAGCACAAATATATATATTGGAACTCGACTGACCGTTTGTGTAGAACATTTTACTAAAAGCTTTCCACATCTCGCTCAGATAAGCCTAGTCGATCCAATGTACATTCAAGTAATAGTGGTTTTGAATAACGTCAAACTGATGGTACTACAGTTGAGCAAGACATGGGGATTTTTTTTTTAAGATGTAGAAGTTCAGCTGAAATGGTAATAAGGCTAAACAAAAACCAAATTATTTACTTGCACATTACTTTTTGTAGTAATACTTGTATTGTTATACATTGTAGTTAATGTTAAGATCCCGGTCAGTCAGAAACCCACCCAAAAATAGTTGTTGTTGTTTTTTCCCAAAAAAAAAAATTGAAATTTCATAATCATTTTTTGCACAGAAAAATACCATAAAACTGGATAACATTGCTGTATGTAAACAATTCAATTGTTTCAAAATCAGTTTTCCGTTTTTTCGCATCGCAAGTATGACCAAAGTTACGAGCAGCCCAGGACCATGTGAAGAACATAAATACAAAAACAAAGCAGCAGAAGTTGTGAAATATGTTTACATCGTGATCCTCCAGCTATATGTACAGCAAAACATTGACATGTTATCCCACAAAGTAGACGTGGAGTAGTGCAAAAGATCCAAAAGCCAGTATAAAAGAGAAGGAAGAGGCAGAACAAGATGTTTTTTTATAGAAATGTGTGCTGAAGAGAGTGTTTCATTACAAAATTTGGACGTTGAGGTTGAAGACTTACTAGAAGAAAACTAGAAACATGTTTATTCTCACAAATTATGCCTTGAAATTGATTAATAACTAATATTTGCTAAAATCAAAGCATTACAAATCTCTCCATTGATTTCCTGGTAAGTTGGGAGGTAACCAATCGTTTTTCCTATTTCTCTGAAAGTTTCTCTCGCTTTTTAGACCATTCCGCACAAATTGTGCACTTTCCCTGATTATTTTTTATACTTTTTCAAAAAGTGTGCACGGCAGCCCCAAGGGTGTGTTTCCCATTGACTGGGATCTCAATATGTTGGTTCACATTGTAGCTAATGTTAATATATTGCAAAAGCCATGTATATATATTAATGTTTCATCATAAAAGAAAGTATTTTATTTAAACATCTTATAAAATCAAAGTGGCTTATTACTCAGATTTTACTTATTACTCACTGTAGCAGACTTGACAGAACTATAAGTTTTATTTTTTTAATGCTAATGTAAACAAATATTTCACTCTTATATTGATGAATTTTGTTTTTTATATTTTCAGTTTTAATTTTTTATTACTAAAACTTGTGTATGAAATAAAATACTGAAAGTTATGTATGAAATATAAAATGTTATCACAAGGAGTCACTTACTAATATGCTTGAAAATCTATCTAGAGCTGAAGAATCTGGCAAAATGTTACTCTAATTAATACAATCTAATCTAATTAAAAGAAATAACATGGCAAATATTTTCCTTTTACATAACATCAAGAGCCAAACATATCCTAGTGGTTAGTATATTGTACTATAGATCAGAAAGTCAACTGCTCATGTCTTGTTACCAGCAAAAAAAAATATATGAACTTAGCCATTTGGGCTATGCATGTGTTATAAGGATAACTGTCAAATCTAACTCTTTAGTCAGACAATGTTAGCCCTTGTGTACACTGATTATTATTCTTATATGGCATCTGTTCCACCAAAGTTTATATTACAATGGAAATTTCACTTGAGAATCCACCACATCAATGTGTTTACCTGAAGAAGACAAACCAATATTCTGTTGAAACATGTAGCGTGTTTTCTACGGGAAATAATTTTCATTATTCTTATTATGAACCATTGTTTATCAGTTTATTTTTACTTTAGTTGTTGATATAATAAAGGTATATATGTGGTTTATATTTAGTTAGCTTGGAATTATAAAAAATAATAATAATAGTATTTGATGACTCCCATAAGCATGTGAAGCTGTAAAAAATATAATGTAAAATTAAACTACATTTTTTTCTGTACTGCTGAATATCTTTCAGAAATTTTGAAAAATATTTTAATGTCTTTACAGTTTCAAATAAATAATCTGAATATAATTAACATAATTTAGACAGCTAATGTAGTTTATATGAGAAATAGAAATTAATAAAGCTACTGTTACTATTTGTTGCAGCCATAAATAGCTTATTTTGGAGGAAACATAACAGGTCATTTTATTTCAATTACAAATAATTACAATGGAGTGTGTGTACTGTGATATATTTTTGGAAACTTTTTACTGTAGGTTTGTTCAGTGGACTGATCCCCACACTGTTACGAGATGCACCTTTTTCGGGCATATACCTAATGTTCTACACACAGACCAAAAAAGCTGTACCCGAATGTAAGTACACTGGATTCGAGGCTATTCTCTGTTGCATGTGTTAATAAAGTGGTTTTATTATTTCAAAGTTAATGTTTCTGTAATATTTTCCACATACTGTTCCACAGTGTCACAAACTGGAATGGTAGGGAATTAAACTCAAGCAGTAATTATCCTGTGTGGAAAGAAAAGCAGTAAGATAATTTTGTAAAGGATATTAATGAACTCTGCTGAGAACAGGTTTCTAAAACGTACCTTAAATATATCCATTTACTGTTGTTGTTTGTTTGTTTTTCTAACCAAATATCCCAACTGGCCTGAAGAGCCCTGGCATAAACGCCTCATTGTTATTGGATATAGCAAATAGTGTGGTCGACAGAATGTTATACACTCCTTTTTACTTTTACTCAAATTCTTTTTAATAATGACTGTCTCATTAAAATCAAAACATTTCCTTTGCTTCACAGCTTGGAGGGATGGAATGACTCAAATTCCAACAATATTTCTCTGTGGAACGTTTTCTGGATTATTGGCTTCTACATGTACCCAGCCAGCAGATGTTATCAAGACTCACATGCAGTTGTACCCAAGCAGGTTCACGAGGGTCTCAATAGCAGTTTTGTACATCTATAAGGTATGGAAGGTGTGATTAACACAGTGCTGATCACACTTAATTTTTTATTTTTGCCAGTATATGTTCTTTCATTTTTGGGGGGGAAAACTTTGTTTTGTTTCTTAACTAAAAACTTGAAGATTTTTATAGAAAAACTGCGTATAAAGCTATTAATAGTGGCATTCACTGTGAATCAAACGTATAAAACATGCCACCTGTGGACTCGCAATGTACATCTATGTGTCATTGCATTAGTACTAATGTGTATATCTACCTGTATTTTATGTCTGTCTTTTGTACGTTTGACTTGTTTTATATCTTTTACATGTTTGTCTGTGTGTGTGTGTGTGTGTGTGGTGGTAGCAGCATAATAAACATACAATTACAAAATTAGAACATAACAAAGTGTGGGGAGGGGGGTGACAGCAACCACAAAACAATTAATGCAGCCTTTTAAAGGAAAGTAGTTGTCTGTTGTTGTGCAGCCAGATTCTTACCTGTAGTGGTATGTAATTGAAGAAATGGCCTATCTTTAATGCTATTTGAATGCTAGTATGCAGTTATTAACCACTTGTGACTAAATAGGTTTTTTTGACATTTATTTCAGTATGTTTTGTCTTTGCACTTTTTGGAGTCATGTCTGGTAGATATAAAATGTGTGTGTGTGTATCTCTGTTATGTATATGCATCTGTCTCTTACAAATGTTTATTCTGTACATATTTGCTTCTGTTTTTTTATATAAAGTTTTCTTCCATATACTTATGCAAGTTTTTTTTAGTCTGTTTTTTTTTTTTTGCACGTATGACATAAAATATCCAAAGTGCTTAACATAGTTTTTGTTACAGACATAACACATTTATTAATATGAAAGTTTAGAAATAAACAGCATTATTGCATGAATGTCCAATATGTTGCACATCTGTTATTACTGCAGGAATATGGACTTGCAGGATACTTCAAGGGACTTGTGCCTCGAGTACTCAGAAGGACTCTTATGACAGCTCTGGCTTGGACTGTATTTGAACAGGTATGTTACTATGATCAGTTACTTGGTGCAACAAACAGTTGATCTGCTACTAAAACATCAAACATCCATTTTATTTTCTCAAAAAACCCTCTGACCATATTATGGAAACTTAAAATTTCCAATTTCATAAAACTAATAAACATGTTGCTTTTTAATATTTGTGGAACATGCAATTTATTTATATCTGATAAATTATAATAGAGAATTAGTCTTCTGGTACATGTTGCTACGTGGGAAAAGAAAATGTACAAAAATTGGATAGTTGGCAAACAAATAATGCTTCAGTGATAGAATTGATTGAAAGTTATAACAACTTCATTGGAATATCTATTTCACAATAATATCTTCAAACAATTTGTTGTATAGAATATACATGTAAAAAGGGATGCAAGTAACTAATTCTAAAACAGTAATCCCTGACATAAAAATAAGGTTTGCTTAAGAAAGTACAATATTGTAAAAAAGATTATTAAATTAAACCAAAAGAAATCTGAGAGATAAATTAATGTCTATGTTTTTTTTTATTATTATATAATTGATAGATAATGGCATGTGGTTTGATTAGGGGCCTGTGGAACTTAAATACATTTCTTATTAAGTATTATGTGTTTGGACGAATTTTATGTTTCTTACATTTCTTTGTTGTTCTTAGGAATAAAATTCTATTATTTTCTTTCCTGAACATCAATCTTAAAATCTTGGGATTAATTAATTAATTAAACTTCCAACAACATAAAATAAATTTCAAATTAAAATACTTGAGTTGTATCTTTAAGCAACATATTTTTCATGGTTTTTAACAGACTGCTGGTTCTAGGCTCGTACATATTTTTCTTATTTTCAAATTTACTGTTATTGTTACTATTTTTATTTTTCAAAAGTGTTTTGTGTAAATGGCAAGTCTACATAACTAACTAATGTTTTTATAATTTTTTAGGTCTCACGCGAATTAGGCCTGAAGTGAAAGAAAGACTACATATGAATTCAGAACATGTTTATATTTTGCACTGTTATATGGTTTATATATTTTCAAGAAGTATGAAAATGTTTTGTCTCTAATAGCATTGTCAACATGTTACTTTTTTTTTGTGTTTTATTTTTTGAAAACAAGTTGATTTAGGAAGAATTGTGTGGAGTGAATTCTTGCAGAACCTTGTGTTAAAATCTAGTGTTCCTATGTTATCTGAGCCTATTGTGTTATGAATGTTTCACACTAATTGGTCTTTATACATAAGTGTTTTCCTTTAGTTTTCATTTTAAAGTTAAGGTCTTTTTACCATATTTCTAAGAAACTAATTTAACTTTTATTCATTATTTGACATATTATCCTTGCAATATTTTTCATTACGATGTTTTGTTAACCTAGTAAACTATATAGTTCTCTAATAAATATACAAAAAACTTTTATACAGTCACTTTTCTTAAGGTTTGCTTAGAATGTTATATTAATTCATACCAATAGATTATTTACTTAAAATTGTCGCACTGTTCATCATTGTTTTGTGTAAGATTGTATCATACAAACATCTTTACTCTCACTTAGGTATGAAATATTGAATTATAATACTCATGGTGGAACAGTATTTTTTTTTTTATCTTTAAACCCAGAAATAAGTGCCTTTGAAGTAGTTACGTAGTAATATTTTAAAAAATTAAATGTTTTTTTTTATTAAACTTGTACTAGGTTGATGTAATAAACTGTACATAACTACTATTATTATTACTTGGGTGTTGTATTATATTTGAATTACAGACTTAAAAGAGGACTTGTATTGAATTCATTTACTTGGTAATAAATACACTAAGACAAGGTTTTCTTAATGGTCAAGCATGGCTCAATGGTTATCGTTACTAGACTGTGAACTTGAGGTTGGCATTCCCTCACCAAAAAAAAAAAAAAATCCCACTCTGCACTTTGGAGCCATGGGTGTGTTATAAGAATGACAGGCAAAATTCTTTTCAGTCTGACTGGTGTTGACTAGCTACCTTCCTTCTTGTCTATCACTTCAAAATTTGGGATGGCTAGGGCCTAGAAAAAAAAAATGTTTTGTTTCTGGTTACCTGACTGATCCTAATGAAAAATGCCCTTTGATTAATTTTTTTTATTTACATCAAATTATTGCACTAATCTGCTACCATTATTGTGCAAGGTGAAGGTCATAAGAAACCATGTCTCCGATTCATTAGTAGGTGTGGTGTGTCAATGCTCTCAGCCAATTATAGCTGAGCTTCTATTTGTACATTGTCAAACATTTCATCATGGCAGCTAGAATATTGGCTGTCATTTTTACAAATGGCCACATGTTTACTTCAAAAAGACAGTGTCACAGTTTATGGAACAGTCAGACATCTTCAAGTCATACCATCCAATACTAGATTCGAATGACTACGAGTTAGATATCAACACATATTGGTCTGGATAAAGTTTCAATGGACATTGGGATGGATTTATTTAGTAGACTTGTTTGGTGTCAAATTAATTGAATTTCACTGTAGGCTTAAACTGAAATGAAAGTACCAGTAAAGCAAAGGATACAGTGACAAAATCCAATCAACCAAATATTCCACCTAACTACCCTCTTATTTGTTTTTCTTCATGTATTAGGAAACAAATCTTTTTTTTTTTTAGTCCCAGTGCAGACTGCCCTTGTGTACCATGAAATTCAACAAAACAAACTGTTTTTCTTTAAAAACAAATGGTGAGGTCAAAAAATGTTTTTCATCAAACACACAGAAAATAATTTTCAAGAAGGCAATTATAACAATTTTATGCATTTTTAGTTAAATGAACTTAGAAACTTAATATTATAATTTCTATTCAAGCAAATATAAAACAACCTTTGCAAAATAAGATACAATGATATACTTATGACAGCAAACGTTTAACCAAATGTTCACAAAGTTAGTTGAATGGGCCAACCTCATAATAGAGAAAGAACATTTACTGTGTACCTACACAAAATGTGGAAAGCTTTTATTAAAATGTACAAGTCTGTCATACACAAAAAATCGGATGTATTACCAAAACATTTGTACTCGAGAGATGCCTGTGAACTGGCATCAGACTGATAAGTGAGAGCGAGTTGCTGTTCATGTGAAGAATAAAAATATTTTACAATTTGCATAACCTTTAGATCCTCTACAGTTTTTTCATTATCTTTGTATATTATTTATGATACTTATCCTCTCTCTCGAACTACCTCTAAATAAGCAATTTAAGGTAAATATGAAGTTGACAACTCTGACATCAAATACATTGAATGGCACTCTATAAAGGTCATGGCATGTGTACTATGGTCATATAGCAGAAGTTTAACTTGATATAAGCATGGCAAGTTTTGCACACGAAATAAACATAGCAAAAAATAATGTTAAATGAACGTACTAATAATAACGTGACTCAAATATATTCAAACTATAAATAAACACTCATCTAATGCCCAGAAAGTCTCTTGTAGTGTAAAACGTTGGTGTAGCATACTTGTACAGCAGTCTCGACTCTCGTGCTACACAGATTTTAGATTTCTTGCCATATCTGTGTGTGACCACTATAGCAATCATCATTGTTTGAAAATGGTGATCAAACTCTGTTCCACTTCACAATTACAGATGATAAAAATGGTACATCTCGTATAAGATTTGATTCAAAATGTATTATAAATATACTTATGTCAAAAGGGTTGAAGGGTATGTCCTAAAATACCAATTAATAATAAATGTTTGGTTATAGATTTATATTAGAGAAAAGCTTTAACATCTGTACTGACTATTCCTTTCATATATATTAAGAATGATACGTGTTTCTTTCTGTAGTAGAAGCATTTTGCATTACACATGAAGACATCAGTTTCACTTTATTTGCTTCCATGAAGGTAAATAAGAGTATTGTTACCTGTAGTTGAAACAGCAAGAATTTCTCCGATTTTATCGATTATGCATTGTAATGAGTTTAAACATAATGATGAGTAATGTAGTTATATAAATACACTTGTATTTCCTAAACCTTGTTATATATTATAGTGGTCTCATAGACTTTTACCTAGTGTCACTAAAATGAGGCCATTAGAGTAGGAATGATGAAAGCCAGCTAATCACAAAAGATAACTGCTAATTGGTTACAAATGTCATTGGTAGAATGTGAATCCACATTCAAAATCCAAACCAATGCTGCATTTGTGCAGACTATCCTCCATAACACAGACCACTGTCAATTCTGGCTGACCACTATTGCAGGTTACCTATACCAGAACTAGCCCAGGTGTTTTAAGTTAAATGACTGTGCAAACTTCACAAAACCAGCCAAATTCTAAATGAGGTGCGTTACACTCACAGCAAGACAAAAAAACAACAACAAACAAACTGTAAACATGTTACATATGAGTTTAACTTGGCTCTATACCAAAAAAAGTTTGACACTATGACAGTTGTGGAACCATGATGTGGGCAAAAAAGTACTGTTGGACATTCCTACTCTGTGAAATGTGACCAGTAATGCCACATGTTATAAAAATTATCCCTTGATCTCTATATACTGGTGAATTTAACACTGTCGTCAGCCTAATAAATGAAAATGTTAAACTGGCCAACACATTATTTAATTAAAAATAAAGATTGGCCTGCTTGCTCACTAGACTTTTTTAGAGATTCGCTACCTCTATGTAAAATGATAAGTTTCCTAAGATGACCTGGAAATGGCTATTTCAGAGAAGTGGGTTCTGAAACCACAATCTGTACCAAGAAGAATGAAAGTGAAGATTATGTTTAGAACAAAAAATGAGAAAGGATTTGAAGTTTGATAAAGGCTTCACATGTCAACCAAAAGAAAGATAGCCAAAAAATTTGGAACCACAGCAATCCCATTTGATCACGTTACCTGTGAAGTCCCTATAGGTAACTCCACATGGACGTTTTTTTTACCATGAATCTGTTTAAGTGTGTGGCTGGAAGTATTAGATTTAAGACACTGGCTGGTTAATAACATTAATATAGCTGTTCTCAGAAGAAGCTTAACCTCGAGGAAACATCTCTTAAGATGATCGCCAGGAAAAATTCGGTTTTCTGCACCAATTCGTCAAACTTAATTATAGTTTCCAAAGAAGTCGTAAATGACGTTCTGAATATTTATTAATGCTATCTGTGTTTCCAAAAAAAAAAAACATAATTTTGTATGAACTTTAATGGTTTGAAACGTAATTATTAGAAAAAAGTTTTGCTCTTAGTTTTTAACAAGTTGAATAAGGTGATGAAAACTTTGCTTTAGTGTTTTTTTTCTTGTGCTCTTTTTTTTTTTCTCATCTAAAGCTGTGCATTCCTAGTAATCGCTTGTAGTGTTATACAAAAATAAACTGGAAGTTTTATCGGAATTTGTGAAAAATACAAAACGCATGATATTACCCAAATAGCAAATTTTAATTTTTCATTTGGGTATTATTTACTTCTCATAGAAGAAGAAAAGAAAAAAGACTATATGAACTTCTTTAACAACTGCTAAACCTAAATTTTGTCAAAAGTAAAATGGCTTGTTACAATATCTCAAAAACATCTTATTTGTTTGTCCACCGCGGGGAGTCTAAACCCGGACCTACCGGGAGACTGAAAAACATTAAAATATTTAATTATTTGCTTTTTACGAAGATAATAGTTATCGCACATATTAAGATATTATGAGCAATAATATGTGTATAGTGTTTTTTTAATTATTTTTTAGCATCTTCATTAAATGTTTGACCAATTGATATAATGTTAAGTCATGTTCTTGCAACGGGCTTTTATACATAAAAAAAACTGGTTTAATAACATGAGGTTATCAACTTGGTATTTTGTATGATACCAAAGTTATACTTGTATATCACATTAGCATTTTACTTTAATTTTGCATTTGCAGGGTGCTAACAGAGTGAAAAATAAATATTTAAAATAATTAAATCTTATAACCTACTTCTTCCGGAAAAATAAATTCAATCAGAGGCACGCTGAGAATCGTAAGTTTTATTCGGGAAAGTCTGGATATGGTATAAAATGTTTCAAAGCTGTGACAGATGCTGAATTTGTTTGTCGTCCTGTCAGTCTCCATGTTAAATAATAACTTCGATCAGAATAAGTTATGTGCTTGGGCGAACCAGAAAATATACCTAGGCATTAATGTAGTTAATTAAGTGTACTTTTCTTACGTTTCTACTTATAAAGATTAGAATGCATTATTTCATCAGTTGGATACCTTCGCTGTTATCGATATTTTCGGTCGTAATCCCAATACAGTAGCATGAAGCTCGAACACCGTAGCAAATTTAAGTTAGTCCTAAATACAAATTCTAAGCTAAGAGTACGAAATAACATTTGTGGCGAAAGTATAATAACAAATAATAAATCATAATAAAAACTAATTTTTGTTACATAAATAACCAAAAATAAATTATATCAGGCATCGTTCTCATTGATCATCGTAACGTTGTGCACACTCATACATATTTCATTCATACCACCAACTCGTATTGTTCAAAGAGAAAAAAACAATTTAGGTATGCATTATATTATGGTTTTAAAAACCCCGTGTCATATCCAGACTTTCCTGAGCAAATCTTATGTGCTTCTGACGAAATATTGTTTTATAAGGACAGGTAGTTTTAAGATATGATCATTTTGAATAGGGTTTTTTCTTTAAAACCACCATACATCAATATCAGTTATAATCTGTATCTGAGAGAAACGCAATATTAAATTAAACTTTATAGATGGAGAAAAGTATTTTCGTATCACACAAATAAACCCCCGACGGCTCAGCGATAAGTCTGAGGACTTGTGAAGCTCAAAGATGTGGTTTCGATACCCGTGGTGGGCAGAATACAGATAGCCAAAAAGTACATAACACATTCACAAGATGATGAAAATAAATTTACTGACACTAATATTGACTTCTTAAGGAATCAGTCTACATAAAATGAATTAAAATTAGACTATTCAAATACATCTTTAAAATTTTCAATAAGTTCGTATAAACCCCCCAGTGGCACAGTGGTATGTTTGCGGACTTACAACGCTAGAATCCGGGTTTCGATACTCGTGGTGAGCAGAGCACAGATAGCCCATTGTGTAGCTTTGTGCTTAACTTCAAACAAACAAACAAGTTCGTATAAAAATAATAATACTTGACTGATGTTGTTCTGCATAACGTAACGTAATTTTCTCTAATGTTTTGAACATGTGTGGAGATTATTAATATAGAAAAAATCTCGTATTATACATTTACAATAATTGCAAGACGACTGTGTTGCTTGTAAGTAAACATAAAAATATTAAAAAATAACAACATATTATCTTGTATCTAATTTCATTCGTGTTCACTCACAAAAAGTGGTCTGTTCAATTATTTCAGATAATATACATTTCAAAAACTATATGTCCAGTGTGAGTGATACACAGACGTAATTACACATACTAAAAAACAACAAAAAACAGTTCACTCGAACATATATCTATTTTTCGTGTTTAGAAAACGTACAAACAAGAAAAGGCGGAACCACGTAAATCTGTGAAATTACGTGTTTCATCAGTTTTATTACAACTGTGGTATCTCTGAGAGGTACGCGCGGGACGATGTAATATTAAAATAGTTACTAGAGACAGTAATGTATTAAATGTCTGTTGATTGTTATCGTTAGTTAAATGTGCTTTTCGTTTCCGATATAAATATGTATAACGTTTGTATTTACCTCCCCTCCCCCCTACCAAATTATGGCAACATCTATTAGAGATAGTCACTATTATACGGTTAATGCCTTAAACCGCACGCTTTCAACGATGAAATAGTATCAGGTAAGATCCCCAAATGGATCAGCGGTAAGTTTAAAATGGTCAGATTGCAGATAATCAATTGTGTGGTGTTAGGTGAAAGTAAGATTTCATGAATATTTTTGTATATATATATATTTTTTAATGAACAGTAGTTTAAAAGAATACAGTTATTTTAAAACAGAACACAGAAACCGGATACCCAGTGTACAGTTAACTCCCCGTGAGTGTTGTAATAAAGATCAGTATTCTTGTATCAGTTTCACTTTCCTTTGCTGTTCTTCTGCAAGTAACTCTTTTCAAACTTCACGTATAATGACGTATTAAAGGATTATTACACACCTTATGTTACTCTTATATGCTGACATGCAGCCAGTGGCGTAACTTCCATGTATGCTTGTATGCTCAAGCATCCACATCGTTTTCACATTTTTAAAAAGATATATCATATATATTTAATGTATAAGATATTCCCATTCGTTCATTCAAATTCTATTTCAATATAACACTGGTTATAACAACCCGTGTGATGGTTTATGTTGTTTGTTTGTCTCTCTCTTTCTTTTTCTTTTTTTATCTGCTATGCCATACACATATAGTAGTTAGATCTTTACTGAAGGTGGCATTGAGTTGAGAGCAGATGTTTTGGAAAATGAGGAAGATGACGCATGCGTATTAACTCATTCGTTAAACGTGTTATAGTATACGATATACGTGTATGTAAACAGACAGGTTCTACATACAAAAACGCCTGTACTGTAAGCAGGTGTTCGAATATAAATGAACTGGAGACTTATACTCAACCTTATAACCTATTTTGGATAAAGATGAACTGTTGGGATTTAATAGCTAGTAAACTGTGTCAGTTTCCCTTGTGTTTGTCCTATTTTTTTACGTTTAATTTTATTTACTTATTATTACTAATGTAACGTTTAGAGAAATGATACCGAACTGAGATATAAGTTTATACTGAGCCCTCTGTACATCTGTTAAACTTTGCTAAATTCTATGTAATTGTTTTTAGGCCCCCAGTGGCACAGCGGTATGTCTGCGGGCTTATACTGCTAGAATCCGGGTTTCGATACCCGTGGTGGACAGAGTACGGATAGTCCTTTTTGTAGGTTTGTGCTGAATAAGAAAACAACAACATTATGTTTAATTGGTAAATTTTATATTTATGATTGATATAAAAGTTTTGGATATACAGAGTCCTCTGTTGCTCCAAAATTTAACTAAAGTAATTGAAAACATTGATGTAAATGTTTATCTTTTAACAAACTCCACAGAACTTTGGTAAACATTGTTTTTGCTATTTTTGCATTTTGTTTTTATTGGACCATTTTAGGTAATTTGCTGTGTCCCTTATTTCGCCCAGTGGGTCAGTGGTAAGTTTAAGGACTTAGAACGCTAAAATTCGGGGTTCGATTACCCTTGGTGGACAGATCTTTGCGCTAAAACAAAGAGTAAGTCTCCCTCTAGTAGGCCTAACTTGCTTTTTATTTTAAATAACCAAACTGTGGAAATAGGATATCATATTTATGTTACCAATTGCTTGTAATAAGCAACATGTGAATATCAAAACAATTTTCTTATAATAAGATGCTATTGTGGTCGTGACGCGTTTACATAAGAAGCCCAGAACGATCGTGACTAACGCAGGTAGGTAAAATAGCAGGGAAGGATATCGGAAAGGTCATTGGAAGCAAGCTGACCGTGAAGTGAGAAACATCCAGTCGTTAAGATGTAACTACACGCTCGTTCTGGAGGTCACCTTTAGAGATGTGGCCCAATGCAGGCTCTTTCTCTCGAGTCTCTTGGAGACACAAAACCTTCGGCAGAAAATATCCACGAGTTTGATAACTTTCTCATTTACTCTTCTAACGTAACATAAAATTGATGAGATTTATCATGTAAATATAACTTACATAACGCCACTAAACGGTCACTTCACTAAACGCCGTGGTGGACTGTTATTTTCAGTTGTGACAACATATTTTTTAATGAATATAACTTACATAACGCCACTAAACGGTCACTTCACTAAACGCCGTGGTGGACAGTTATTTTCAGTTGTGACAACATATTTTTTAATGAATATAACTTACATAACGCCACTAAACGGTCACTTCACTAAACGCCGTGGTGGACTGTTATTTTCAGTTGTGACAACATATTTTTTAATGAACTTTTCCAAAAAAAAAAGATTTATCAGATCACAGTCTGATAGATTTTGTTAACATAAATACATCAGCTTTCTTGTGCATGTAAATAGCATCAACAAGCCGTTCTTCTCGTTCGTCAGTACTTCAACCATGAGATACGCCGTATAAAATATTTATCAGTTAATAACACATTCTAGTAAATATGTGTTTTTAAGTAAGACTTTATTAATGTAGATCCTTTTTCTATGGTCAAGAACCCTTAATAGCTATGTCTGGAACAGTACTTACTACATTAACGTAGAAAAGCAAATCGCACTCCGAATATACACATATATATATTATATATGTATGTGTATGAATATCTGCTATACTTATATATATATCTGTGTTCTCAGACGTAATACGATCAATAAAAAAAAACGCATGATAGTAGTCCTACAAAATGCGATTATAATTGTGGGGGATGGCATAACTAGTAAAGCATGACATGTTTTCTAGTTCTTTTAGGTTTCGTGTTTGTACGAATGATACGCTTAACATGAAGTTCGAAGCATGAAAAATGTATTTTTGCATTATTTTCTTTTAGTACGTAAACGCGAGGTTAATTTCGAATGCAATACTGACAACATTTCGTAATCCTACAGTGAAATTTCCTAGAACTACTGGTAATGTTTCACAAGCATGTAGTCAGTAGTGGATTGCCCACTAATTTATCATGTTTCATTAAACGCCTGACAAATATAATTAGTAATGTATGTCACAGCTCCGAATAGAACTTTTTAATATTTTATTTAAATTGAAAACGGACTATGACAGAACTTGCCTACTCTGTCCGATGACATCTGTGACCGCCAGATCATTGTGAAGAAAATAATTGTACTTCGAGATTTTATCTCATCTCTTGTATTAAGTCAGTGACAAACGAAATATAGTTCAGCTCATAAGTTTTGATTACACGCATGATTCGCATTTAGTACATCGTCTTCTCACCAGAGTGCTAGATTGTAGCACTTTATGGACAGATTTTACCTTTACTGGTATAGGAATCGTGATGTATCAACAGCTGTCCCTGTACACATGTTAAAGAAGGCTGACTGACTCTCCGAGATTTATGTAGAGAAGCCCACAGTAATAAACGTTATTCAAGTGCGTAGGCTAGCTAAAAGCAAACGAAGCTTTCGCCGGGACTCTCTGGCACTGTGAACATCGATTTCCCCGCAACTCCTCGTGATAACTAGTTGTCAAGAGCGTGGTGTATAGAGTAATTATTTTCGAAAGAAAAGTGAATTGGCATTAATTAATTTTAATAAAAGTTAAACAGTCGATAAAAGAAAATATAAACTAAGCATAGATGAGTTGAAAATAGAAAAGGTAAGTGTCTTATTAAAATTTTAACTGTCTGTTGTTTTCTCTCCAATGTGCAGAGCTAAACAGCTGTAGGCGAAATAGGAACATTACGCGTGGGTTCTTGTGATTTGCTTTCAAAAGCTAATAGAAATAACATAGAACCACATCACCAGTTTATGTTACATATATTGATCCAAGTTATGTGCTAGGTGTTATATATACATACAAGAACGGAATATATGTCAGATCAGCCGTGCAATCGACGTTCGTGTTATTCTTTATTCACTCTTTCTACGCGTTCAAAGTTTCAAAAGTAGCTCAGTGGCATATTTATACAATTGCAAATACTGGTGAATATTTTTGCAGGTAGAAGTATAATACAGTCTATATATAGTTTATCAGTAACGGTCGCTACGACGTAACTGATTCAAATTCATCTTTATCAGTATCAGTCGCTACGACGTAACTGATTCAAATACATCTTTATCAATATCGGTCGTTACGAAGTAACTGGTTCAAATACATCTTTATCAGTATCGGTCTCTACGACGTAACTGATTCAAATACATCTTTATCAGTATCGGTCGCTACGACGTAACTGATTCAAATACATCTTTATCAGTATCAGTCACTACGAAGTAACTGATTCAAATACATCTTTATCAGTCACTACGAAGTAACTGATTCAAATACATCTTTATCAGTATCAGTCGCTATGAAATAACTGATTCAAATACATCTTTATCAGTATCGGTCACTAAGACGTAACTGATTCAAATACATTTTTATCGGTATCAGTCGCTATGAAATAACTGATTCAAATACATCTTTATCAGTATCGGTCACTACGACGTAACTGATTCAAATAAATATTTATCGGTATCAGTTGCTACGACATAACTGATTCAAAGACATCTTTAATACTCATATTCTTATTCTAAATAAGCTGGTGTGATATATAATAAAACATCTCATAGTGCCTCTTACAAAGAAACCACAAAACTGTGTCACATGTACCATATAAATGCTAGCTGATAAAATGCAGGGAGAAAGCGTTTCTTGATGGAAAACGAGATATCTTTGCAATAGCTACGTTCAATCTAATCCCCTGGGACTTTCTGAAAATTGCTCACTGTTACCTTATCAGGGTATGATAACCGATTCCAGTGTATTCTCTTTAAAACACGTATCAAGAAAGAGGAAGAGACCTAAGCGGAAGCCGCACAACTGATAGAATGTCAAGTTTAGTCCAAAATTAGTATGGGTAAGAATCCTGGCATTTTAAAAACTTTTACGCATATGTGTCAGGATAATTCATTTACATTATAGTGTGCTAACCAAGTAATAATAGAATGTTAGTGCAAAATGAACATTCACTAGTAAAACATCTGGATATCGCAATAGCAAGTTTCTGTTAAATAGCTTTACTTATTGTAGTCTAGATTTTTTAAAGAATGTTCTTGTTTGACAAATTTTAATAGAACTAACATTAGCAGTGTTAGCAACGATGCAAGACTTACACACTTGTTCCGAATCAGAAAGCGATATTAACTTTTGTTTTCTGTAAGTTTAAGCGTAATGCGTCTGACAACAAGTTGTTATAGCATGGACTTGATGAGCTTGTTTGATAATTAATGATATTTCGGGTCTTGTTACAATCCACTGCTATAGTTCATGTATTTTTCATTCATTATCTATTACTTTTTTCAGATCCAAATCAAACGACCAAGCAGTTTCATGACGTGCAAATTATTCAGTAAATACTATTACTCTTCATTAGCCTGCTAATTGTAGCTGTATAAAGCAATTACGATAAACAGAAACAAAAAGAAGCCGTTATACTCTGTACTAAATGTATTTACTCTTAGTAAAGTAATTGTATCGAATATTATAATTTTTACCGAAATTTAATTTTATTGCAAAAGCTCTTATCAGTAATTAGTTTTAATATTTTAAATCAACAATTACACTTGTCAAGGAACGAACTATAGATCCTTATACCTAATACTGCCGCTTAAAAAAAAAAAAAAAAAAAACGAACGTTTGTTTTTGAATTTCGCGCAAAGCTACACGAGGACTATCTGCGCTAGCCGTCCCTAATTTAGCAGTGTAAGACTAGAGGGAGGCAGCTAGTCATCACCACCCACCGCCAACTCTTGGGCTACTCTTTTACCAACGAATAGTGGGATTGACCGTAACATTATAACGCCCCCACGGCTGAAAGGGCGAGCATGTTTGGTGTGACGGGGATTCGAACCCGCGACCCTCTGATTGCGAGTCGAGCGCCCTAACCACCTGGCCATGCCGGGCCCGACGTTTGTTGATGACGTGAGATGTGTATTAAATATTATAATTTTTAAAACTAACGTTTACTTTCCTTATCGTAGATCACATTTTAATTTATGTCATTTTAAAACAAACTTTTTGCATGCATTCCCCAGATGGGTGAACAGCAAATTTCTGTGCTTAAAACTCTAAAAATTCAGGGTTCGATTCTCCATTGAGCAGAGCACAGATAGTTCATTGTGCAGCTTTGCTCTAAAATAAGAAAATAAAACACACTTCTTGCATAACATAAACCACATTTTACTTACCACATGATTTAATAGAAAGTAACTTAACTAGCTAAAACATACGCTAATTAGATGTGTTGTAAGGACCCACACTCCTTCATACTTACATGTTTTTAGCAGTCTGTTTATGCGTGCAAACACAATAGTGAGATGTAGTGTGTCAGGTGTTTACTTAAGCCTCATGAATGTAGGACTGTAGCCATATTGTATTATAGTTAGTTTGCAATACAATGCGTAAGAGCAAGGATCGCTCCCACTATAAAAGGGGCGGGTGCTCATCTAGCAGGAGATTTATTACCAAAGAATTTTTCTTTGACCATCTGTTAAAATAATTTAAAAAGAATTACATTTATATAAATAAACTAATATACTATGTTGACTATCCGACAGATGGTTGGACAGACTTGTAAATTGTAGTAAAAGTCCGACTGTGTCCCAATTGATCAATGTCTTCAACAGTAGCCAGAATTCGACTATATTCCAACATATCATGCGAAATACGTTAAAAATTTGTATTATGAGAGCCGATAAGCAGTCCGAAATCTGTTTATCTCGAATACAAGCAGGAAAACTTAAATTCAGTGGTGCTTAAAGTGCAATCTGGGGAAAGTGAATGACTGAAAGTGTGTGATGTGGTCTGAAGATTCGTGTTTCACTATTTGGTCTACTAAGAGTAATAATGTTGAGAAAACTAGGTGATGCTAGGATATCATTATGATAGTACAAAATCGCTGAAGATGTTAATATAGTGTAGAATCTTTCTTGTAGCAGACGTTGGGTTCTTTCATTTCTTTCGAAGGAAAACAAATCCAAAATGTACTTAAATTTTTTTGACAGTCATACCCTTCCATCAATGCTGCATTTTTACCCTGGTGAACAATGGTTCCTCTAAGACGATAATGCAGCAACCCACCATATGTAGTATCCAAAATTAATTCAGTTATCACGACAGTAATTTGAGTAATCTTCATTAAATAGAACAATCACCAAATCTTATTTTCAGTCTGGGATGAACTTAAACTTCATGTTTGCCACAGTAATCCTCTGTCACTAAAAACCTGTGAACTGATTGCGTTGTACAAACTCATTGACTAGATTTGGTTTGTTTTGAATTTTGCGCGAAGCTAGCCGTCCATAATTTAGCAATCAAAAACTAGGGGGAAGGCAGCTAGTCATCACGACCCACCGCCAACTCTTGGACTGCTCTTTTATCAACGAATAGTGCGATTGACCGTCACGTTATAACGCCCTCACGGCTGAAAGGGCGAGCATGTTTGGTGTGACGGGGATTCGAATCCGCGACCCTCAGATTGCGAGTCAAACGCCCTAACCACCTGACCATTCTGGGTCCCTTTGAGTACATTCTAAAAAAAAATCGGTATTTTGTTGAAAGTTCGTCCAAAAAAAAAAGGTGGCAGTTCTATTAAAATGGTCATTCATGGTTTAGCAAAACACAATTAAAAAAACTGAAACTAGATAATACAAAATATGTTTAATAGCAAGAACTCACATAATGCATTAATAATGAAATAAAGAAACAGTAGGAAGATGATTTTTATAAGTGATCAGGAAGCAAATATTCAAGGTGAAAATTGGTGTTTTATGTAATTGTGTTATTCTAAGATGTCTATCTTCTTACCTACATGATCAGAGTATCTTATATTAAAGACAATTTTTTCCAGGGTCTAGATTTTCATTGTAATTTATTCATGTATTCAGTGATTTTCTGGTTCCTTATAATTATGAAATCTTATGCACCCTAAAGGCTGAGAAAGTGCTAGATTATACCGATGTGTATCTTGGCTAGAATAAGTTTTATAGCTAGATCATATAAAAGAGAAATAACCAAGGTATTCCCCAAAAAATGTATCTTTATATATACTTCACTTGTAAAAAAAAAAAAAAATCAAATTACAACACAGTGCACAAACACGACAGCTTATACGACTTTCGAGTGTCTCTCCCTACTTCGTTATAATCAATTGCAAAACTCCGTCATAAGCCCGTCATGTCCAAAGCATACCACTCCTTCCTGAATTCTTTCCTATAATCCATTTAGGGTACGAAGGTGACGGTTTCCTAGCATCCATTTCAATAGTCATATCGCACAGCAAACTATAGGCGCTTCGTCTGGCGATTTGACTTGTATGTCTTCTTATTTAATAGCTATTACATACCATTCCCAAACAATGTCAAAGTGTAGTTCTGATTTATTCCGTTCCACCGCGACTTTATTTCAGTTATAGTTGCTATTTAACTTGATGATTTGCACATTCAAAATCGTTTTGATTTAACATACCCAACACTCTGTATACAAGGAAGTTGTCAACATGCATGCTCACTGATTCATAAATGAAATTTAGTGCAGAGACAAATTGTTGAAAACTCACTATTAGTCTTAATTGACAGGGACCGAAAAAAAAAGAGGCAAAACTAAATATGAAAATTAAT